ACCCCCAAACCGGCTGGGCACCCCAAACGCCACCCCAAAAATGGGACCCCGAAACGGGACCCCAAAACGGGACCCCCAAACGGCACCCCAAAAACGGCCGGGACCCCAAACGGGACCCCAAAAACGGGACCCCAAAACCGGGACCCCAAAATCGGCACCCCAAAAAGGGACCCCAATCGGGACCCCAAAAATGGGACCCCCCAAACAGGACCCCAAAACCAACCGGGGACCCCAAACCCAGCCAGGCACTCCCATGCTGTCCCCGAGAGGGTCGGGAGGATTTTGGAGTTATTTTGGGTTATTTTTGGGGTGTGTTTAGGGGATTTAGGCTCACTCTCGGCGATGAGGCGGCTCTCGGGGGACAGCGCGGTCCCTGGGGTTATTTCAGGGTTATTTTGGGGTGTGTTTAGGGGATTTGGGCTCACTCTCGGCGATGAGGCGGCTCTCGGGGGACAGCGCGGTCCCCAGCGCGGTTTCGGGGTTACTTTGGGGTTATTTTGGGGTGGATTTAGGGGATTTAGGCTCACTCTCGGCGATGAGGCGGCTCTCGGGGGACAGCGCGGTCCCCAGTGCGGTTTTGGGGTTACTTTGGGGTTATTTTGGGGTGGGTTTAGGGGATTTAGGCTCACTCTCGGCGATGAGGCGGCTCTCGGGGGACAGCGCGGTCCCCAGTGCGGTTTTGGGGTTACTTTGGGGGTATTTTGGGGTGGATTTAGGGGATTTAGGCTCACTCTCGGCGATGAGGCGGCTCTCGGGGGACAGCGCGGTCCCCAGCGCGTTGCTGGCGGCGCAGCGGAACCGGCCCTGCAGGCGCCCGGCCAGGCTGGCGTTGATGACCAAGGTCCCCCCCCCGGGGGACACCGAGACCCCCCCCAGCTCCGCCGGGGACAGCGACGGCGACGGGAACGGGCGGCCCTCGCGCGTCCAGCGGAACCTGCGGGGACACCGGGGGACGGTGACACCCGGGGGACACCCAGGGGACACCCGGAGGACAATCAGGTGACACCCAGGTGACACCCAGGTGACGTTCAGGTGACCCTCAGGTCACACCCAGGTGACATTCAGGTGACACAGGTGACACTCAGGTGGCACTCACTGCGGGGCGGGGCACACACAGTGACACAGAGGTGACACAGAGGTGACACCCAGGGGTGACACGGGGGTGGCACTCACTGCGGGGCGGGGCACACACAGTGACACAGAGGTGACACAGGTGACACAGCGGTGGCACTCACTGCGGCGCGGGGCACACACAGTGACACAGGTGACCCCCAGGTGACCCAGGTGACACAGTGGCACTCACTGCGGCGCGGGGCGGCCGCTGGCCGCGCACTTGAGCACGGCGTCGTCGCTGGGGAACACCACGAGCTGCTCCGGGGGCGCCTCCGTCAGCTCGGGGGGCTGCTGGACTGGGGGGGGCAGCGGCTGGGACCCCAGACCCACGGGACCCCCCCAGGGACCCCAGACCCACCGGGACCCCCCGGGACCCCAGACCCATCGGGACCCCAGACCCACCGGGACCCCCCCGGGCATCCCAAAACATTCCCAGGACCCCAGACCCCAAAGGGACCCCCCCAGGCACCCCAAATCCCACCGGGACCCCCAGGGACACCCCACAACAAACACCCTCAGAACAACCGGGACCCCTCCTCAGCTCCTCGCACAGCGCAGGGGGGGCTCCATGCAGGCCCGGGCCGTGTGCCATCCCCCCCGTGACGCCCCCTCCCCAAATGCACTCACACTCGGGGGGGATGACGATGGCGCCGCGCCCCCCCAGCAGCAGCAGCAGCAGCGCGAGCCCCCGCGGCAGCGCCATGCCCGCGGCCCTGGGGGGGGCACCGCTCATTGGGGAGGGGTCTCCACCCCCCGAGCTGTGCCCCACCTGACCCTACAGAACCCCTATAGAACCTCCTGTGCCCCACGTCCCACCCTACAGAACCCCTATAGAAACACTTCTACCCCTCAACTGACCCTATAGAAACACCTGTACCTCCAGTCTGACCCTATAGAACCCCTACAGAACCACCTGTGCCCCTGTTCCACCCCACAGAACCTCCTGTACCCCTGCCTGACCCTATAGAGCCCCTATAGAACCTCCTGTGCCCCTGTCCCACCCTACAGAACCACCTGTGCCTCCAGTCTGACCCTATAGAACCCTATAGAGCCCTACCCCTCAACTGACCCTATAGAAACACCTGTACCTACAGAACCCCTATAGAACCACCTGTGCCCCTGTCCCACCCCATAGAACCACCTGTACCCCTGCCTGACCCTATAGAATCCCTATAGAACCTCCTGTGCCCCTGTCCCACCCCATAGAACCACCTGTACCTCCAGTTTGACCCTATAGCATCCCTATAGAACCTCCTGTGCCCCTGTCCCACCCCACAGAACCACCAGTGCCTCCAGTCTGACCCTATAGAACCCCTATAGAACCTCCTGTGCCCCTGTCCCACCTTACAGAACCACCTGTGCCTCCAGTCTGACCCTATAGAGCCCCTATAGAGCCCTATAGAGCCCCTATAGAGCCCCACAGAGCCGGCCCCAAATTCCTGCTGACCCCATAGAACCCCTATAGAACCTCCTATACCTCCAGTCTGACCCTATAGAACCCCCATAGAACCACCTGTGGCCCTCAGCCGGGTCCTGTAGAAGCCCTATAGACACTCCTGTACCCCTGCCTGACCCTATAGAAACTCCTGTGCCCCTGCCTGACCCTACAGAACCCCCCGTGCCCCACAGAACCGCCCATGTCCATCCGTCTGACCCTATAGAACCCCTATAGAGCCCCCGTAGAACCACCTGCACCCACGTCTGGCCCTATAGAGCCACCTGTGCCCCTGTTCCACCCTATAGAACCAGCCATGTCCCTCAACCTGACCCTACAGAATCCCCATAGAGCCACCTGTACCCCATGTCTGGCCCTATAGAACCCCCTGTGCCCCACAGAACCGCCCATGTCCCTCAACCTGACCCTATAGAATCCCTATAGAGCCCCCATAGAGCCACCTGTACCCCATGTCTGGCCCTATAGAACCCCCTGTGCCCCACAGAACCGCCCATGTCCCTCAACCTGACCCTATAGAAGCACCTGCACCCATGTCTGGCCCTATAGGGCCCCTATAGAGCCACCTGTGCCCCCTGTCCCACCCTATAGAGCCAGCTGCCCTATAGAGCCCCCTGTGCCCCTCAGCCCGATCCTACAGACCCCTATAGGGCCCCCATAGAACCACCTGTACCTCCTGTCTGGCCCTATAGATCCACCGGCCCTATAGAGCCCCCTGTGCCCCACGGCTGACCCTATAGAGCTCCTGTGCCTGTGCCTAGCCCCACAGAGACCCTACAGACCATCCCCAGCCCTATAGAGACCCCAGACCCTCACTTACCTGTGCCCGGCCCTACAAAGACCCTATAGACCCTCCCTGGCCCTATAGAGCCCCTATAGAGACCCCAGACCCCCCTACAGACCCTCCCCAGCCCTACAGAGACCCCAGACCCACCTGTGCCTGTGCCCGGCCCTATAGAGCCCCTACAGAGACCCCAGACCCTCATTTACCTGTGCCCTGCCCTATAGATCCTATAGGACCCTCCCCGGCCCTAAAGAGCCCCCAGACCCACCTGTG